AACCGGACTTAGACAGCCATTGAAAAAACATATAAACACCTCTCATACAGCTAAATAGCACGAGACAATTAATTACCAACAAGATATAGCAAAAATTAGTTTTTGTCCCATTCCGATTTTCTGATTTATTTAGCATGTGCGCATACCCCAATCATCTGATCGACAAATTGTGTAACTGTAATAAAGTATTGAAAAAATGATACTCTAAACTTGTCTCAGCTACATAAAAAGACTGTAATCCAAAAACTGACTTCATAAAAAGCAACTTTATCGCAAGATTTTCAGTTGCAAACTTAAAATGACGCAGAAAAATGTAACTCCACTTGGTTCTAGAAACGTTATAAAATTGTCAAGTATTCAATTCACTCCTAAACAGAACATTTAAAAAAAATTGAAGGAAAAATTTCCTGCAATTTTAATACTTCAAAATCTCCTTTTTTCTTCACAAACTACTCATTGCAGAATCTTAATAACTTTTAAACAACAGAAACAAGAAAAAAAAATCAAAATTAACTGCACAAATTTTCAAAGAAACAACAACGACTATGAATCTTTTAACATTAACAACGGCAACACCAAAAAAACAACAGAATTGCATAGGATCAAAAAAGTAAAACGCTTCTGCAGACGATCCTGCGCAATTTTGCAAGTAAAACAAAACAAAAAATGAAAGTGAACTTCAACTGTTCTTTTATACAACCAACAGAAACCACACCAGATTCGCTACTGTATCATTTGAACGATTTCAAATGCAATTTAAAATGCAATAACAGTAACAAAATATTTATCAAGATGAGCTTTTTTAAACTATCGCAATCGTAGCTTCCAAAATTATCCCCCTTTGTTCCTTCTTTTTTTCTGCCTGGATTATCAATATTTTATTTTTTAACAGAAAAATTTCTTTCATAGCGTATATAAATCTCAAACAGTTATATTCAACGAACAATTCGACTGTCTGATGCGGTTTACACTTTCCGTGCCACGGTGTCAATTCATACAGTAAAAATGTTTCTTTTATGCACCGTATATAAACTCAACAACAATAACAAAAAAATTGTCAAACACGTAATTCAAAAAAATAAACACAAAATACTCTGACTCCCTACACTTCAAGTTTTTGAACTTAAAATTGAAAATGCACTGATTATAAATCCCTGATTTCAAAAAATTCTGGTAGTATTTGATGTAACAATAATTTTTTAAAATTGTACCAAGAAAAAAGATGATTCCCAACCTTCAGTTTAAATAATTCAGTTCCGCTTTTTCAAAATTTGAAAGGCTTCAACCAGTCTCATTTGTATTAACAATATCATCAAAGTTCGGAGGCAAAACCTCCCAAAAGCCGAAAAAACACACATCCAGAACCAATGTTGCACTAATCATAATTAGATGTGCATTCCAACAAATGTTGATTATCCTTGCATTTCACGATTATCCGTAAAACACTATCAGCATCAATTTCAACAAATTATCAGTGCCTTCCACCAGACATCAGAATCAGCTTAAAACTGTGACCAAAAATTTTCCACTAATTTTCAGCAGCGAAAATCTTAACAAAATCTGTGAAAAACCCGCTTTTCGCAGCGCAGATAAGAACGATAAATTCTGGTAGTAGTGCAGGCTGATTAAATTCTGAATGGCAATAGTACACCAAAGTAGTTTACAAAATGCAGCGATATCAACCAGTCCTAAATGCGGGTGAAAATACAAAACAAATTCAGTACCGCAGGATGCATCAAAATATCCGGTGTTAGAGAAGCAATAATGGAATTTCTTTGTTGAAATATCAGACCTCCTCAACTATCAAAATACGAATGTCGAGAAACATGATATAGTGGTGCTGTAGAAAATGACCTGCTTCGAATAAATCGTCCAAATATCACAGTCGGTATGAAAGCATACCAAATTGCAACTGAGATGAGTACAGTAGCACGAAAAAAAAAAAAAAGAAAACAAGGTTACTAGAAGAATACTGCTAGTAAAGCAGAAAGTCCCGTACCAAAATTACCAATGTTGTAAAACATGTGAACTCTACCCGTAACCAACCAAAACACAACTACGACTCGACTTTAAAATTTCTAAAAACTTCAACACACGCCTAAAAAGTCAAACCACCCTATTACCGCCAATTAGCACTTCACATCTTTACCCGCTCCCTCATACATGCCAAACGCTAGCAGTTCAAATTGATCCCATGAAAACGTTCTGCTCAAAACTACTAGATACTGAAATAAGTCTCCACTTTTTTGAACCACAACTCCGCCAGACCAAACGATTTTCCTTGTTCACCTCACTATGACGTCACATTCATTGACAACCACACGAACGCCCCAATGAAACCAGACGGGAAGTAATTTTAAAACATCAACAAGAGCTGATAGCGAATACCGTTACCGATGACTACAAAATGTACTTTTATATCTCTCGCCTTCTAAACAATGCAGTTTCGTCAGAGAAATTTGCACACTGTGATCATTACTCCCAATATTAATCATTACACTGTTTACTGAAATAGTAGAACATCTTCCTTCCTATCGTTTCGCAAATTACGCAGATTATCATCATTACATACACTCAAACCACACTAAGCCAAACCAGTCGTAAGAAATATGATTTGTCCTGCAATTAGAAAAAAAACAGCTCAGTCGACTACCTAAACCAAAAGCGTTCAGCAAAACTTATAAGCAACAACGTACAGAACTCTGCTTTGAAATGAACTTCACAGGAAATTCCAACAGCTTAGCAACCAAATGTTCACTTTCACGTATCTACCTTCCCGAAGTCGTAGCGACCAGCAAGAACTCTTAACTTTATGAATACCGGAAACCATAAAAAAAATAATCAGAAACAATGAAAAAACAAAAAAACTTCAGAAACTACACTTCTGACAAAATCTGGAGACTTACCATCCACAGTCGCATAGTTGACTGCATATGACAAGAGCAATAACGCAGACCATAAACCTATATTTAAAAATTTAATGAAAATTCTAGCGACAAAAAATGTACAAAAATATATTCGTGCAGTCAAGAGAACCAGCACAGAATGACGAACAAAAAATAAAAAGCCGAATGCCCGTTGTCAATTTAATCATTTTCAGTACAATCACGAAGTCCGACCCATCAGTGTTTAAATAATGATGAACCTCCTCCATATAGCTCAAACAGTGACAAACAGACAAGATTACGGTACTTGAGAGAGTCAACGTTTGTAACTACATAGGGAGGCAAAATTTATTCAATTTTAGAATAACTTGAAAAAAAATAGGTCAACCTTCCAACAGGGCTTATACAGTACTATTTCAAAAACAACCAAAAGCATGCAATAAATGTCAATTCGTGGCAGGAAATACAAGAATTTGGTGGTAACACTTTCAAACAGAGAATACCGTTAACTTGATTTGCAGCCAGTAAAACGCGTAAGTGCGTTCATACGAATTAGTCTTTTGTAAATTAGTCAAAAATATTATTGTTACAGCAGCGGTAAGTGTGAAGATCAGTAGTTTTTAAAGACAGGTACAGCAAAAAATAAATTACTGTTCAACAAATGAATGCAGCACAGCCTTAGGTCATATTACTGAATAAAACCGAAACCAATCTTAACTTCAGTAAAAACCTATATTACGACCTCACTTGAAAAAAATCAATTTCAGTAGGTTTTCCATGTACAAAACCTACTAGAAAAAAAACCAAAACTACTCCTTACAGAAACGTCTGACTACAAGGTATAAATCAAAAAAAAAAAAAAGTTAATTGAAAAAAATAAAAAGATGAACAAAAATTCTTTGAGATCAGACAAAATAACTGAACTTCTACAGGGAAATTACTGAGTGTAACAATTTTAGGGCATACTGCTTCAAGAAAGAGTAAAACGAAAACTTACCTCAACGTACTGAATCAAACATCAATGTATTAGCAACCAAGAGTAAGAGTAATAGAGCCGGTAAGAAACAGCCGATTAAATTAGTAATCCAGATATTGTAGCGACTCAAACAGTGTACAAATACATTTGAATGAGCAGAGATTTAGTCAACCTAGAGCAAGATAGCAACAATAATATTAATAATAGATAAATTATCTCATGATTTTCAATCCCCACTTTAAATTCTAGTAATAATGACTATGAGCCATTTGACGGTGTACTAGAAGAAGCCTTGAGAGCAAGAGCTAATAAAAGATGTCCACATTCTGGCGTAAGCACATTAACTCCTCTTGCCATTGAATGTATTAATCGATCAGCCATATTACTTGCAGCAAAAACGTACAAAACACCATTTGGAACGGTGACTACCCCTGCTGCATCCTTATCTGTGAGGTAACTTACAAGGGGCCTCAACGACTTATCTGAGGCTACTGCAATCATTAAAGTCAATTGTTTTTTAGAAGATGTGACAAGTTTTTCTTCCAAAGCCTCTTGACTGGCCAGAGGAAGCCGCTGCGTGATGTGCAATTTATAAGCGATGCCATTTTCAGCCTGATTGCGCATCAGATTCTGAATCAAATGTTCAGACCCCCAAATGCGGAAGACCTTGATAGCATACTCAGTTTTTTTGAGAATAATGAAACCCTGCCAAGTGGATGCAATCCTTCGTTCCAATTCATCAATGGTATCAATTTCACCACTCGATGGCGACCCCGGAGGGCTATCTGATGGAGTGCAAGGGCCCCTTCGCTTATGAGAAAGCTCGCTTGAAACGCTGCGCCGTCTTTTGCGATCTTCTTTTTGGTCATCTCTGGAAAACAAAATAACTGGGATAATTTACTGGTTATACAAAATGGAACTATTGTACAAATATAAAAAGCAAACTTTGCAAAGTCTACAATAATACAGCGATCACGTCCGCCAAGTGGAAATCCTTTCATGGCTCGACAAGCATCAACTGCTGCATTTTGATCCACAAACCGTATGTAAGCAAAATCTGAACCTTCTTCATAATCTACCCTATCAACCAAACCATACCGGTCGAACTCCTAAACAGGCAACACAAAATAGCAACACATCTGTACGCTAGCAAAAAAAGATCGTAAAAACCACCCTGCTTAAAAGCAAACCTTGGCTAAGTAATCAGAAGTTGTCCAGGGACCAAGACCACCAATCCATAGTTTATTTGAGGGCTGTGATTTTCCATAACCAATCTTACAGCGTGATGTTCCAGGTCTAATAGGCCTATTGTGCTCATTAGCCTTAGCATTCATTGATTGCTCCAAAGTCTGAAACCGAATGGGTTAAATATATAACTGAAAACCAAACTTTAAACTCTAAAATATTTCACCTTGACTTTTCTACAACGACTTCCTTTAGTATTTTCACTGAGAATATACGCAGAAAATAAGGTTCTAAAACATCAAATTGCTGCGAAAATGAGAAAGAACAATTAGCTTGTCCCCTAAAAACGACTGCGCATAATATTCAAAAAAACTGAAATCTTATCTCAAGCACTTTGTTACAGATGCAAAGATCTCTACTGCGAATAACTATCCATCTAGATTTGAAAAAAATTGATAGATAAATATGGGGATCGACGCCGCACCGTTAATTCCCCACATACTTCACTGCAACACACAAGCTGGCCACAATTAGAATGAAATCGGGTTACATTTCGTAACAGCTTCTTGAGTAAAGTAAATACTTTCCGTAGCTCAGCCTATCTCAAGAATCTGTTCTGATATTACTGTAACGCCAGATGAAATATTCTAAGACGTTGCTTTTCCGAGTAAGGAGAAATGAGGTAACTGATCCCCCCTTTTCCCGATTCATTAAAATGTCCTAATCAAATTAATTAATAAGTAATTTCCGTTCTAACGTACGAATACAATGTAAACACTAAACAGATAGGCAAAAATGGCTATTTGTCTGCTAGATGACGACTAGCCCGCGGACCCAACACCTCGAGCTAGGAATAAATGTTCCATGAGTTCAACAATCTAAACGTAAACTGTCAAACAATTTCACTTTCACTTAGGATTCGAGCCCAACAAGTTCTTTAAATTTCCTTTAGCTAAAAAGTGCCGCGGTTCCTAAAGTCCATCCTCTAATTAACAGGAACTGTAAGAGTTAAAAAAAGTTACTTTTGATCAAACACCAGATTTATCTCTAAGTTTTAAAGCGCTGTAAACCCAATCCGTACTAAAAACGAAAATGTTCTTTTAGAAAAAGATAATACGAACAACACAACCAAATCCGGTTACGGACCTATAAAATGCATAAAAATTAAAGTTGCTGAAAAGTTCTCGGCAAACTTAAAATAAAAAACGGTTAAAAACAAGCATACGTAAGCACCAATAGCTTAAGTTTGGAAAAAAACCAAATAAAAATTTAAAACCAATATAATTAACAACTAAAACTTCACCTGAAAAAGAACAAACGCGTAAGCAGCATTTGTCTCCGGAGGGTTCTTTATATCCACATCCTCAACCTTGCCGTATTTTTCAAAAACACGTCTTATTTCACTTTCCCTTATATCCGCTGGCAAATTGCCAACAAAAAGAGTACGAGTAGCATCGCTATCGTCCTCCTTTAGATTCCACGTTCCTCCACCTCCACTGTTGTTCCGATCTCGACGACCCCTAGTTGGAGATTTCCTAAATTAGTTAAAATCCGGAAGTTGGAAATTAAAACCGACGAATGCGCTGCAATCTGAAATAACAGTCAAGACAACACCAAACAAAACCTTTTGCCTTGTTCCTTCCTATCTCTTTCTCTTTCCGCCTGCAACGCCCTGTTGTATCGATCTGGAATGTATTTCCCTTCCTGGTCTCTAATAATACCAGCGGGATCTAGATGTAACCTTTTTCCTAAAAGCTTCTGCAGACGAGGAAGCAATGTGTGGCGGATAGTCCTAGCAGCGTCTGGCCTTTCAAAGTTAACATATGCTAGCCTTTCTTCATCTCCTGGATGACGTACAATTTTGATCTGAATGAACAAAACATAAAAAAAAGAGTTAATGGCCCATACATAAACTTTGCAATTCAAAAAAAGAACGTACTTGAAACGCTAATCATTTTATTCCAAGAAAGCACATTAGTACAGAACAGACCTCAAATGGAGCGAAACGTCGGAACTCTTGCTCCAGGATATCTTTCACGTCATCTTTAGAAATCTTGCTGTCGAAATGAGAGAGACGTAAATTCATATATTCTTCTGGCGAATGACTGCCAAAACGGTCCCTAAAATAGTACAGTGCAAGAATTTGGCAAATGACGAACTTGCTTTCGTCTAAACTTCAAACCAATATCCGTAGAAACCATTTCTTAAAAGGAGCACCAAAAATGATTCCAAGAAATGTTGAAGAGCTAAACTGCGCTACGGCAAGAGAACGTCAAGATTATGCTCATCATAACTCAGATTACTTTATTAATTCTGGACATGTCTAGCAAGTCACTTCACTTGTCAATATTTATTTACTTACTAACGCCTATGCAGGAAGCCTGCCAAAAAACCAATTTTTCAAGCAGTTATTGCAGACAACTCTTGAAAAAAACAAATTTTTTAAATCTTCGAACTATTTAAAACATCAACGTTCTAAAGCAGCATTTCACCCCAAAAAAATTTGGAAGTGCTAAAAAATTCCTACAACTTTTACACGTTTCCTTTTATAATGGCGCTAGTATCGAACACCCACTGAGTTCTATACAGACGCCAAAATGTAAACATTTCTTAACAAGTAAATTTCGTTTCTATCAAATAAATCAAAAATACCAACGCCCGTTTGGCTGCAAAAAAATTCAAAGTACACAAACACAATCATTGCGAATGAAAACCTGATTCTTTTAAATTTCTGGACGGCTTACCTTTGCAAAAAAAGTCGTTCTCGTGACTCACTTTATCGCTTATTAAACTTGGTACTACTTGAACCAGTCATTTTGGCAAAGACTATGTCCATCATTGAAAAACACCTCACCTCTGTTTCCCAAGAAAGCTAGGTACTTTACTATACCTCTCTAAGATTTAAAGGACCATGGTTATAAAAGCTTTCTTACTTTTGCCAGTGACTACAGTCTACTAAACCAGCTACAGCCCTTTCCCCTCGTCAAGGAAATAGACAAACCTCACAGGTAAAAGTGATACATATAACTGACAAATGCAGTACTTGTGTATCACGTAGAGCAAAATCCTGCCTTCTCTATTTTAATTCTGTCACAATATATTAAGCTTATAGCACATACACAAAACACATACAACCCCTTCCTTGAATCCCCTTCATAAAAAACGTTATATATATATATATA